AGCAAGCGGACCTGGCCTAGGGAGGATTTTATACTGGGTTCATTTTAAGGAATTCGAAATAACACAACTTTAAAATTTGGTTTAATTCGGTTTTACAGGGGGGGATTGTATATATGCCTTTGTTTTAAATATGTTGTGAGCCGCCCTGAGTCCCGTTGGGAGAAGGGCGGGATATAAATTAAATTAAATAAATAAATAATAAATAAATAAATAATTTCTCATTCAAAAATTACTCTTGCTGCATGTCCTGTAGAGAAATATGCTTGATGCCCTCAATTCATCCTAGATGACAAATTTTGGGGTAATGGTGCTCCAGGCTTTTTTCAAAGCCTTGGAAACTCAACCAGACGGGCAGGTTTCCAAACTTTTAGTCCCACCAATTCAGCTACTCTTCAATATGCAAAAAAAACCAAATCAAGCTCTGTCTTAGATCTCAAATTTTAATTTTTGACTGTCCTCAGATTTTCTTTCAGAAAACTTGGAAGGCACATGTTGTGTGGAATTTTTCTCTCCTAAATACTGTACAAGAAGCAAAATACACTCTACCTGGGAAATCTTAGAAGGTGGATTTTTTTTAACTTCCACAATCTTTCCATTTTTTTTATTGTTTTTGTGTAGCGCACCAACCACTTGCATTTCTTGTTTTGATCCTCAGGGATTAAATTCTATGTTGCGCTAGTACTGAGACTTATTTTTGAGGTCTTAAATTTGTCTGTTTTATTTAAATTATTTATATCTGCTTATATATGCTCATCTCATAACAGTAATTCTGGGTGGCGAACAAGATTAAAATAACATTAAACATCTAAACCACGATAGGCATCTAACTATCTAAACCACTTTCCATCAGATTGGCCTCTTTTTGATATTGCTAAATGGATGAGAAACTATTACAAGTTACAGACAATCTCTGACTAGATTATATATCCCTCATCAGCAGAGCTACAGCTGTTTTGGAAATATGATTCATCATCTTTGAAGGTCAGGACACAGAGATTGAAAAGACCCAACATGCTTAAAGAGAAGGAGGATGAAATGACTACTGATTAGTCAGAATAACAGTTAAGATGTTGCATTAGGACCAAGGAGACACAGATTTAAATCCATCTCTAGACAAGGAAGTTTATTGGATTGGCTGAGGGTAGGTACTGTGTAAGCCCAAAATATTTCAGAGGTTTGCTGCTAAGAAGAAAATTGAAGTAGGGTGAGGTGTGTGTGTGTGTGCTTTCCGGTCCTGGAAGACAAGTGAAGTACAAACCTAGAATACTGTCCTCCAGATATGTGGACTTCAGCAAAGTTTATGGACATCCATGTTGGGAAATGATAATCTACCACAATATTGTGTGTGTGTATATATATATATTTATACTGGAATATACTGTGTTCCCTAGGTATATTTATGTATATGTGTATGTATGTGTACACACATACACACATATATAGAAACATACATACATGCATGCATACATAAATAAATAAATACATGTTTACAGTGAATCATATATTATGGAAAGAGGACTTAACAAAACCTAGGGAATCAGGTTTTCTTGTTCATGTGGATGGTAGTCTGGAGAAAAGAAAGAGAGAATAAGAAAAAGCTAAAGCTGAAGGTGGTGGTAGCAAAGAGAGGCAAGATCCCTTTGATTTTTGCTTTATTTTTGGCTCCTGACTTGATTTAATATTTTCCATTGGTAGATTGCCTTTTATAGAAAAAAAATTGCACATTGTGGCCTTACGTTTTCCAAATCTCACTTTACCTTCTTGATCCCAGTGTCTCTGTAACTTTTGTTATATCCCTTGGGAACAGTAGTTGTTGAGGAATTGGGAACAGTAGTTGTTGAGGACTGAATTCTTGCACAGACAAATAATATTGTTTAAAAAGTGCAACATACAATAATTAAAAGGTGGTAGATTTTGTACATAAATAATAAAGCCTTGCACTTGGAAGCTGAAATAGAATCAAGTGATATTTGATTTTTAATTTTGTTAATTGTGACCCTAGAAAGTGTGCAGAGTAGAGCAACAAATATAATAAAGAGTCTACAAGCTAAATTGTATAACAAATGGTTGAAGGAAGTAGATATGTCTAGCCCAGGGGTAGGCAACCTTGGCTCTTTTATGTCTCGTGGACTTCAACTCCCAGAATTCCTGAGCCAGCCATGCTGAGGGGAAAGGGAGAATTTCCAAGCTGAGCCATGCTGGCTCAGGAATTCTGGAGTTGAAATCCACGAGTCATAAAAGAGCCAAGGTTGCCTACCCTTGGATTAGTCTAATGAAGGGAAGTATTGGGCAGGAGGTGGGGACATGATAACTGTCTTCCAACATTTGAGGTGATTCTCCAAAGCACCAGACAAGCACCAGGACAAGAAGTAATGGGTGGAAGCTTGTTAAGGAGAGAGCCAACCTAGAAGGAAGGAGAAATTATCAGATAGTGAGAACAATGATCAATAGAACTGTTTGGCTCCCAGAGTTTTCAAAAATAGACTGAACAACCTTTTGACAGGGATAGTATAAGGTCTCCTGCCTTGAGCAGGAGATTGGACTAAAAAAACTACAAGGTCCCTTCCAGCCCTATATTCTATATTCTGCAATTCCATGAATTCCCAATATTTCAACTCAACACTTTTTTTCCCTTTGTAGACGGACGACAGCTACAATTCAGGGAGCCCCTCGAAAGGAATCTTCTCAAAGGGGTTCCAGAACCGACCTTCCAGTCCATCTTCTGCTCCCGTCAAGTCTAAACATAGTCCAGGCTCACCCAAAACAGTGTTCCCCTTCCCGTACCAGGAATCACCTCCTCGCTCCCCTCGACGCATGAGCTTTAGTGGCATTTTCAGGTCGTCTTCAAAAGACTCTTCCTCCTCTGGCTCTAACCCTTCCACCTCCCCCGGAGGAATCAAGTTCTTCTCCAGATCAAGAAAAAGTAAGGCATCAGTCATGTTTATTCACAAGAGCTTTGTTCGGGTTCCTTCACCTGCAGTATGACAATAAGGTAGATATTGGAGGAGACGTGCAATAGCTTGTATTCTGAATTTGAGCCTCTTGATTTAGTGGGTGGGATCCTGCTCTTGTCATCAGTAGAAATGTACATTTTGTGCCTGTGTTCAACTGAAATGGTCGAGATGGACCAGTATCACTCTGCTGCGATTGGGGACAACCTATGCAAGAAACTGTGCTGACTCCTGCAAACAATCTTGGAACTTTGCTCCTCAATTTCTATTCCTTCCTTCCTTCCTCCCTCCCTCCTTCTCCTCCTTTCTGTACAAAGGCACACAGGATCATAAATTAAATTGTGGTTCAGTAGATTTATTGCTCAAGCCTTTTCACACGGATCTAGTCAACTAAAGTTCAGTACTAAATAAGGGTCAGTGGAATTAAAGTGGGGTTGGCCTTGGATCTTTGTGGGGACATAACGATTCTAAGCTGATGACACATTTAACTCCACCCCCCCAACTCTGCCTGTTCTTCTGCTACATCTTGCTTTTTTATCAACAAGTACATACAACAGCTTGGCTGATATTGAATTTGGGAGCTTTCTGGCCTTTGGAATCCTTGACTAGTGTCCAGTGGTCTGACTTTAATGGTTGTGGTATGAATTAAGCAATGTTTCCCCAAAGTTTATAACGACTACTAATTATAAGGGCTGCATGCTACTTCTGGGTCAGACTTAGCATATCTTGCCTTTAGGTAGCAGTGCAGTTAGTTCTCAGCTTATGACCATCATGAAGACCAGAATTTCTAAGCTAAGCAAAGCGGTTGTTAAGTGAGTCACGTCCAATTTTACATTTTTTGCCACAGTTAAGCAAATTGGAGCAGTCCTTAAGTGAATTGCATTGTAGTTAAGCGAATCTGCCTTCCCCCATTGACCTGGCTTGTCAGAAGCCAGCTGTCAACACTGCTAACATTGGATGTTCTTGCTTTGACAACAGATGGAAATGCAGCCATTTTCTCTATTGCTTTTAGAATTAGTTGCTGCTGGGAGGGGGAATAGGGATGAGAGTCCAGCTAGTCATAACAATAATAACTCAGCTATAGGAACCCAAGGTCATTGGGCCCAGAGTTGATAGAGTTTTGGTGGGCTGGAGAGCTGGGAAGAAAGCCCGAGCTTCAAGCTAATTGGGGAATGTGATTTATGACTGTTTATTGGAGAAGGGAATTGCGCTTTGTTACTTTGTATCCAGGGGAGGGGAATTTAGTTTCTGGTTTTGACTATATAGTGCTGATACTTTGTTTCTTGAATAAAAGATTCTTTAAGATAAACAATGCCTCAAAGTTCTTTTGAAGAAGTTCATTGTCGGAACCATGACACCAGCTTGCAAATACGGGTTAGATGACCCTAGAGTTGCAGCCTGAATTTTGATCATGTGAGATTGCCGCAATGGATGTAAGTGTGGGGACCATTCATAAGTCAATTTTTTCAGTGTCACTGTAACTTCGAATGGTTGCTAAATTAATGGTTATAAGTCAAGGACTACCAGTATTTAGGGAACCATGCATCTGCTGTAGGACACATTGTCTTCAGCGGCCCAGTGCTGACTCCAAAACCGCACTGATGTGAGTGTCAAAGAACCCAGCATTGGCTAGTATGCATATCAAAGGGGATTTTTTTCCTGTTGTTTGTGTTCTTCCTTATAAACACTTGCTGCCTTCTCTGCCCTCCAACTTTGAGTTTGATATTGATTCAGATGACATTTCCAAGCTAAAAGCATTTGGAATCTACTGTTGATAAGAGCCAAACAGAGGAACAGATGATGGATTTACCGTACCTTATGCAAGGCTTGCAAATCAAATGAGCTGTAGTGTAACATGTTAGCAGAAAAGAGCGGTGGTTCTCAAAATGCCTTGTGTGTTATTTCTACACTTCTGGCTATTCTGGGTTACACCTCCAAAAAAATCCCAGGATAAATTTTTGCTGGGTTAGGTTGGCCTTTAATCTGATGCATGTTGGCTTCCTTTCCTGGTTATCCAAAGAGAAAGGTTGCTGGATTAGGGAAGACTTTAATCTTTAAATACGAGCTTCTAATCTTGGTTTGCTTTAGACCCCAGAGAATTAGCATCAGTTAGAACTGACCAGCTTTTCTGAATCTGATTCCTTAAAAATGTGTTTGTTTATTTGAAGAAAGTCAAAGGGCCAGCCACGTTATACAACTATGGGTGGCTACAATACCCTAGTCACCTAGTGCATATCCAGAGGGATACAAATTGGGAGAATCTTAAGCAGTTTAAAGAATTGTTTATATGACTTAATCAGAAGACTATTTTACATGTTCAGGTAGACCTGGAATGGAAGGAAGCTCCCAAAAAAGAGAATAATTCTCATCAGAACCAGAAAGCTTGAATGATCCTAGAAAACAGTTCCCATCAGTGTATCTTTATATTGTTTATTTATAGAGTTTCTGATTAGTCACCATGCCAGCTACAAGGCACTTAAGGAGACAAATCTGAGAATTGTAATAAGAGCAGAATAAATTCTGGAATATGAATTTATTTGGATTGTACTTGGCTCCATTATAGTAACAGCAGTTGGGCGTGGAGGATCATAGCAACCCAAGATTGAGAGAGAGAGAGACCATCCTCTTTCCTGCCTGAGCAGGGGGTTGGACTAGATGACCTCCAAGGTCCCTTCCAACTTTATTATTATTATTATTGTTGTTGTTGTTGTTGTTGATCATCGCACAGTCACCCAGATGTTCAGACTGGATTTGGCATTTTTGTCTACCTATTGAGTCCTTACCAAGGACCTGGGATAGGCAGATGTGGATGTTTGATGGTATTACAGATATCGTCGCAGGATGGAAGCAGTTCCTAGTAAGGCCGCCTTTTGCAATTGACTAATGGAGAATTTGGCAATGCCAATGGTGTTCAAGTGGTGCTCCAGTTGTTTTGGGATTGCACCCAAGGCGCCTATTACTATTGGTACTACCCTTGCTTGCCTTTGCCACAGTCTTTGTATTTCTATTTGTAGGTCTTTGTATTTTGTTATTTTCTCCAGTTCAAAGACCTACAAATAGAAATAGAAAGACTGTGGCAAAGGCAAGCAAGGGTAGTACCAATAGTAATAGGCGCCTTGGGTGCAATCCCAAAACAACTGGAGCACCGTTATTATTATTATTATTATTATTATTATTACTATTATTAGGATTAGGATTAGGATTAGGATTAGTAGTAGTACTAGTATCATTATCATCATTATCATCATCATCATCATCATCATCTCTTGGGGCTATCATTACAACTTTGCACTGCACTGATGATGTTAGGTAATAATAATAATAATAATAATAGTAATAATAGTAATAATAGTAATAATAGTAATAATAGTAATAATAGTAATAATAATAAAGTTGGAAGGGACCTTGGGGGTCATCTAATCCAACCCCCTGCTCAGGCAGGAAACCCTATACCATTTCAGACAAATGGCTGTCCAGTCTCTTCTTAAAAACTTCCAGTGTTGGAGCATTCACTGCTTCTGGAGGCAGGTTGTTCCACTGGTTAATTGTTCTCACTGTCAGGAAGTTTCTCCTTAATTCTAGATTGCTTCTCTCCTTGATTAGTTTCCATCCATTGCTTCTTGTCCTGCCTTCAGGCGCCTTGGAAAATAGCTTGACTTCCTCTTCTTTGTGGCAGCCCCTGAGATATTGGAACACTGCTATCTTGTCCCCCCTCGTCCTTCTTTTCATTAAACTACACATACCCAATTCCAGCAGCCGTTCCTTATATGCTTTACCCTCCAATCCACTAATCATCTTTGTTGCTCTTCTCTGTACTCTTTCTAGAGTCTCAACATCTTTTTTACATCGTGGTGACCAAAACTGGATGCAGTATTCCAAGTGTGGCCTTACCAAAGCATTGTAAAGTGGTATTAATACTTCACGTGATCTTGATTCTATCCCTCTGTTAATGCAGCCCAGCACTGTGTTGGCCTTTTTGGCAGCTGCAGCACACTGCTGGCTCATATTTAAGTGATTGTCCACTAGGACTCCGAGATCCCTCTCACAGTTACTACTATTGTCGTTCCATGGGGGATATGATATGGACATGTAAAGGTTTTTCTTGCCTAAATGTAGAACCTTACTTTTTTCACCATTGAATTTCATTTTGTTAGATAGCGCCCAGTGTTCAAGTCTGTCCAGATCCTCCTGTATCCTAAGCCTGTCTTCTGGAGTGTTGGCTATTCCTGCCAGCTTGGTGTTGTCTGCAAATTTGATGATTTCCCCATCTATCCCCTCATCCAAATCGTTGATGAAGATGTTGAAGAGCCCTGGGCCCAGAACAGAGCCCTGGGGCACCCCACTATACACTTCCCTCCATATAGATGCGGTTCCATTGAGGACCACACACTGAGTACGGCCGGTCAGCCAGCTACGGATCCCTCTGGTGGTAGCTTGGTAATGAAATGTCTGCAAGAAAATAACCGATCATCCTGCTCTTTCTTTGGTATTTCAGTTAATATGGTATATGATAGAGATACTCCTGTATGGAGGAAGATTAACATTGAAAGATGACATACTTGGATCAATTTCAGGTTGGGCTTGCCAAGTTAGGGTTTAAAATCTTGCAAAGCCACTAATTCCTAGTGGTGACTTCCAGCTTCCAACTAGCATAGTAATATAACCACATTTCATAGACTATAGTAAACAAGATGGCTAAGAGTTGTGGCTATACTTCTTCCATATCTTCCGAACAAAAGTTTAATATGGTTTGCTGTTCAGATTTACACCTTAAGAGGGTGCTGTTTCTTGCACGTTCCTGTTTTCTGTTGATCAGATTCAGGCTTTTAAACTACTATGCTTATAGCAGACTTAATCTAGAGGACATTCAGAACTCAGTTTCTTTGGCATTTGATGCAGAAGTCAGAGGTCCTAGATGCTTTCTGAGCTTGGTTTTTTTCTTGCAAATGTTTCATTACCCAAACTAGATAAC